GTAACCAACCTACAGAGATGTTGGTTGCCAATTACAAGAGCCATGCTGATGCTCCTATTGAGGAATAAAAAAGTCCATCTTCACACGGGTAAACATATCTCAAATACAAAGTATTTACAGAATGGTCCTCAACTATATATAATTTATCAGAGGTATAAGTATAATTTAGGAGACAAAAGCTAATGCATTAGTTACCTTTTATAGTGAATAATACTGTAGCAGTCAAGTCCATTCGGATATTAAAATAGTTAAAAAGATCGGAATATAAGGTGATTATTAGAGACCGAGACTCCCATTTCCCTGGAGCATAAGATATCTTCAAGTTAGATTCAGCATTAACGGACCGAGAATCTCGCCGATTAGGATTTGCAGTAAAGCAACTTATACCAAACCTCTTCATCTCGCTTAATCAATATCGTTAAGGCTATTGGGCCTAGTTAACTCATTCTCGTGATAGTTTGTTTGATGAATTCAAGGGACTCGGAAAGAGCAGGTGAGAGGTTACATGGTGGTATTATTAGTCGTTACACCAGAAGTTAGAATTTCCCCAGATGGATCACACGAAAACCCACCTTAAATACTTCGTACATAAGCATGAACCAATGAGATTACATAATATTCCTAGGGCTGCTAGGGAATCTGCATGGGGCGAAGCTCTATGTAGCTACTTAACCTAGTGTATATCCAAGAATAGATTGACTTAGCGTCGCCCCTGGAGGATTTTTAGTTCTTACCCGATCATTAACGAAATCTCCTGCTTGGCTTTCTCAATCTGAATACAGCCAATAATGATACCCGATATGATCAGAACAAGTTACACACTACATGCGGTGAAAGACGTGGTGCTGACCGAAGTTCAAGTTCGGAGATATATACATATAGATACCTACCTAGGTCTAGGTGGGAAGCATCCGTACTTCCGCGAATGAGGTAGGTAGGCGACAGGTAATAGTACTGAATTTACTACAGAGCAAGGTTAGAAAGGCCCGACTCGAGTGCTTCTGACTGATATAACAGAAGTTCTCGACGGCCATGCATTCATCGCCTAGTCCGACCAAGAAACAAATACCTAGCACCCTCGACTATATTTTCCTGTCGGGGGAGGAGCTTAGATGCAGGCAGCAGATGTGACGGGGTCAACCGATCTCCAAATCAACTACCTGCCCTTCTCGTTAGCTGCGCGCGAGGCGTCTCGTTCTATTGGTCGACCTCATAAACTCCCGCGTCAAAGTGGATTTCATGACAGGCATCATGGCAAGTAGCCGTCGAGCTGTTCGCAGGAAATAGGTTACCTGCATACCGACGCCCAGCCATGACAAACTCTCCCCCGTGCTGACAAAATGTTTCAACTGATCGTCCGGCATTACCCATGTCTGCTCAATTACACTATGCAGATCCCATGGAACAGAGCAGTTGCCATACCGCCTCTCTAGGAGCTACTTAAGATAGCTTGCTGCGCTCCCTCGATGCATAGCCCTATCCTGGAGGATCTGCGCAGCGAGAGCTTACTCGAACTGCAAGCTAAACCTCAGGTACTTAGAGAGACGAGTCCCGGGCAGCTCAGACTGGAGGAAGCTCTGCCATAGTCAATTAGCATCTATAGGCCCCCCATCTCTTGCGGGCACCCAACAGCTTACCTTACAGCCTTCGACAAGAAAGAGTGGTGATAACAGTTGCCCAATATGCTGTTTTGCAAAGTATCCACCTGGATGGCGAGGTTCATGCCACTCCTCGTCCCAGTGGCATGTGCCTCGGCAGCAGTAGCCAACGACCACCGCGTCGTAGTCTACTACCAGACGACCCAAGCCAACAATAGTGCCACAGCGCATATATCGCTACTACCGCTCGTCGACAGCGCCGCTGAGGTTTCTGTCACCCATGTCCTGATCGCCGCCATCCACATCCAAGATGACGCCACCGTCCACCTTAACAACGAGCCCCCTGACAACGCCATGTTCGACGCGGTCTGGACCGACGCGGCACAGCTACAAGCTAAGGGCGTTACCGTGATGGGCATGCTAGGCGGTGCCGCTGCAGGTTCCTACCAGCGTCTTGACGGCGACGACGCCTCGTTTGAGACGTTCTACGCCCCACTACACGACATGATCGGCACCTACAACCTGCAGGGTCTAGACCTGGATGTCGAGGAGACCTTTTCGTTAGACGGCGTCATCCGGCTGATCGACAGACTCAAGACGGACTTCGGCGATGACTTCGTCATTTCTCTTGCTCCCGTAGCTTCCGCATTGACCGAAGGCGGCGGCAACCTCAGCGGCTTCAACTACTTCGACCTGGAGGCGCAACGCGGCAGCTCCATCGCCTTCTACAACGCGCAGTTCTACTACGGGTGGGGCGACGCCAGCAGCGCCGGCGACTACGAAGCCATCATCGACGACGGTTTCCCCGCCGAAAAAGTAGTCCTAGGCTTGGTCACCGACCCGTCCAACGGGAACGGCTTCGTCAGCTTGGACGACCTGACCCCTGTTCTCCAGGAGCTCACGGGCGAGAACCCGACGTTCGGCGGCGTGGCCGGCTGGGAGTACTTCAACTCGCAGCCCGGCGGCACGAGTTCCCCCTGGGAGTGGGCTGCTTGGATGGCGGACCATATTAGTTCTGCTGCTGCGACCACCGGCGAGAAGCGCGAGATTGCGACGACGGAGAAGGTCTGGAGGGGTATTCGTAAGGTTGGGCGGCGCGTGCGCCGTGATGCTAAGAAGGTGTATCGGGATTACATTGCTTAAGCTAGGCGTTTGTGCGTGTGGTCCGTTGGGGGTGGGCGTTATTAACGAGTGTAACTTTGCTTGGGAAGTGATACCTACCTATCTTCTAGTTTGGATAAGCCTGTCTGTGTATACTCACTCGTATATTTGATATCTAGCTTGACAAAAGCACACACGTATGATATTTTTGTTTTTGATCTCTTACTCTCATATCCACCCCGCGCTTGGATGGTCTCGTGAATGATTGCCTAAAGCGCGTAAGCGTTCCTGTTGTGAAAGCTTCAAGTTGTCATATTATGTATGTATGGTTGGTATATTTGGGGGGGCATACTGCAAGGGAGAAGGGGAGGGAGACACAAGGAGAATACGTAACGTACGTAGTGAGACATGCCACTAATGTCTCACTTCTTATTCGAGATCTTATTCGATTAGATAACAAGCTGAGTTGTCGCATGTCAAGGTAATTAGGTACCTAGGTAGTCTTGATGAAAATAAAAATGTAATCTAGCAAAGTGTTTGTGATAAGAAAATACGGGATGTTGTTGAGTAGGGATGCGTTAGATGTCTAGGTACTTAATTTATCTATAGAATTAATATACCCTCCCTTCACTCAAAAGCTATATAGTATAACTATAGTGAGTAGCATTTTCATTACGTCACTTATAAGAATCTAATCTGAGACAATGTGAACCGCGGTGGGATAAATACGTGCATATTTCACTCCAGACTTATGAGTAAGTGTCCACTTGCTGTGAGACTTGACTTAGCTTGACGTCACTCACTCAATCGGTTTTTAAGACTTATGTAAATAGTTGACTTATAGTAATTCGTGTGTGAAATAGTACTTTTTTAGCTACCTATTCTTTTTGCAAATCGCTTGCTTCGCTCTAAGGCTTACGCCTCATCTAGAGCACCTGAGTGTATATGCCTATAATTTCCAGGCTCTACCAAATTCCTCGTCGTGTTATGCTATAACCGTTCCAATCTCCTGCCTAGTTGGGCACTCATGCAGGATGAGTGGTTCTAAACCCTCTTTAGGGTTTAAAGTGGCCTAAAAGTCCCTGCATCTTCTAGGGCGGATCTAAATTTCCGTAATGCGCGCACAATCGTACGTCTCAGGTGTTTGAACCCCCATTTATGCCGCCCCAAGCTGCCCAATGTGTTGAGGGGAAAAAAAAAATGACCATCAAGTCCAACGCCGGGCAATGCAATGGCTACCCAACCTATCCGAATAATACCTCCTCGATGCGTATCAAAAACTCGCTCGCCTGATCAAGTAACTATGCTGTAAGTGAAGTGTTGAAAAACAAACATGAATCCGTACCAAATCGTAACATGAGAAAGGCAAGGAAATTGCCAAGGGTATTTTGGTAATAGTACACAGTATAGAAAGAAATTCAATATCAACGTAGTAACAGCTACGCGATAAACACCAGACTTGCTATATGCATAGTGTACTCTGTTTCGATGTATCATGTAAATGTCAAGGAGTGCGGCATGGCATTGTTGAATGCGCAATTTTTGTTCTGACCGCTGATACGTTCCACCAATTCAGGAACGTTCCATCTTTCGTGGGTCTAGAAGAAATCCAAACCTGTGAAAGATCTATTATCTTGTGCCCGCCAAATTGATATTGCGGGGCTTCACGGTCGTCATAGACTTGATTGATTGAAAGGCCCTGCGAGATAATGCACTCTATGTGCTGTGCATGCGACAACACAAGGGATATCTACTTCGGCGATTAGGAGGATGAAATGGACCATTGCCCATCCTAACCCGGTCGTAGGAATTAATCAAGTCGCTTAGGTCGCGTGTTGAAGTATTCCTCGGCAGTGCCCTTGGCCCTTTGACTAGGGAAAAGAAGGAGGCAGGGAATACACCCCACAAGCCGTTAACTATGTATCGTAGCCTGGTTGAGCTTGCATATGTATTTCCAGAATGCCATTGTGGATCCCGTTAGACTGGCGATGTCGGCAAGATGGAGTAATGAAATGGCTACGATTCGTGGAAGTCGAAGCTAATGGGTTTGTCGGTATTCGCCGTTGACGTAGGATGTGGGACAAAGGTCTCTGTCCCTTTCACCTCCATCCAGTCTCGACCACTCGTTAGCCAAAATTGGTAACCCACAATATTGAACCCTCAAAAATCAATTTACAATCATCTCCACGAGCGCGCTTGAGCGTAGTCGTCGACTTCGCTGTCCCGATGATCGTAATGTGCCTTGTAGCGGTATGCTGATGATGGAGAGCGTCGGACGAATAATGCCTATTCCATCCGAATTTAGATGACGTCCTGTGAAATTGCAACCCATCTCGCGGGAACGCCATCGGGTCTAATCTCGTAGGGTTTTGTTGTAGACTTTCTTGGCGGTAGAAGCCACCGTGCGTGTCCTTCGCGTTGGTCGTCTAATTTACCACGCTTGCGCATTAGGTGTTCCAAGACAGCAATTCGAATGAAGTCCGAGTTCTCCCGAATTTCCCGCTGGCGAGGACCCGGTGGAAAGACGTACGCGTTCGGTGATTTGTTAGAATTGCCCACTTGACCGCCTGAACGACTAGCTGCCGGGGCACTCCTTGATCGTTGCACTTTATAGGTTTGCATCTGAATAGACGCTGTATAACTGCGAAACGTTGGCCGTGCGCGAGATTCGGGCCGTACACTGGTCGGGTTTAGATAACGACGCATGGCTTCGCTGGGTTCTTCTCCCAAGACAGGAGGCATTCTCTCGTCGGTGAATGGGACCCGTGGGTCGATTGTGAGTATAGATCTAGTAAGGAAGTCATCTGGGGGTATCGACGAAGATGTAAAACTAGATAATGATCGGGCGGCAGAACGCAATGCACGAAGCGACGCCGTCAAATTCGATTTGAAGACGGATTTAAGTGGCATGAGCCCAGTAGTCTGTTTCTGCTCAGTTGGGCTTGGTTTTGGGGTGAAGACTCTAAAGTCAAGCTCGTCAACGTCCAGATTATCCTTAGTAGAAAGCGGATGTTCGAAATGTTGACCGGGTGGTGAAGACACCGGCTCTAGCAAACGCCTCGGCGATCGTATCCTTCTCCCGCGTGGGGTAACGGGAGAGTCGATAGAAGTAACTAGACTAGTTCCAAACGAATCGCCTAGGGAAGGTATACTGTCAAACGATGCTGCGCGGGTTGAGAATGGTGATGCGAGTGCGCTATCGCTATTTGAAGATGCCTCATCTTCATCGAGCTCATCCGGAGGGCTGAGCAAAACTTCCATAGGGCTGCGATCATAGGAGGTGAAGCTGATATCGCTCAAATCTTGTGCGAATTCCTCACTCAGTTCCTGGCTTAACTCTTTCTCTGAGACTTGAGACCGAGGTACAATCGAGTTTACCGTCATCCGGGAGTCCCTAGACGACTCCCTAGATTGCTTTTGCCGTGATCCCCCATGTCTTTTAGGTGGGGGAATAGTAGTGATAGCGAGCAATGCCGCCACCGACGGCGGGATAGCATCGGGTGAGTGTACATCTCGAGAGTTTCGATTTGGAGAAGAGTTAGCTCGATGCGCGTGCGCATGGGGTCGCAGCCTGTGCGAGTGAGAGTGCGCGGTGTCATGCTTTGATCTAATGGGGATCTGTACGGCGCTCGAAGGAGTATTTGGTCGCGCGACAACATTAGTCGTTGTCGCACGTGGCGGACTGCCGCTTGGTGGAGATAACCGGTCGGATTGTAAACCTTTCCTCTTACCCATGGTTTGCTCTTTTGAGTTTATTCTAGTGCTGACGGATTTGGAAGAGGCGGCGTCCTTCTCCGTCGATGGTGCATCCTTTCTCTTATGTGAAGTCGTAGCCGTTAGGGAGGTTGGGTGCACGGTTTGTTTTCGCGAATATAAAAAGGATCTAGGGACCATCATCATGACTCGAGGTCGAGCTAGAGCCGCCTTTTTAAACGGTTCCCGTTACCAAAAGGAAATATCCGGCACCCTATTACAGCAATTAATCAGTCTGGCGGGGCCGTAGGCCGCAAGGACCGCAAGGAACGTGGATCTAAGTGTGATGTAGTTTCACTGTAGTTCACTGTAGTTCTTTTTTTTCCCGTCGCGCCCGCCGAATCGGAAGCCAACTACCGTAACTGGAATCGTATGCTAAGTGAGTATTGGATTGGTGTGGATTGGTGGTCGTGCGCAGGCTCCTCCAGGGGTTCACGATTCTCGTACGTAATAGCGAAATCTCTCGTCGAACGCGGGATGCAGCCCAGATGCACGGCAGGAACCCAGAGACGTGGAAACTGAATATAAAGTAATGATGTCGCTTTTGCAGATCTTTGCAGCTCTCGGGTTTTCAACTGTTACCACCCGTCCTCTCTTAGGCGCATCGGCTCTTCGAGTAGCTGGATCTGGTGAGAATAACGAGGCATTACAGGAAGTACGACGAAGACATGTAGCACGAACGCTCAGATGGGGGCCAGGCTGGGATGGATGGATGATGATGATGACGACAAGGCGTATTGTGACGACCGATTAACTCGTAATTCTAGATGATATATTCCGTATATGATGTATGCGTCTTCTCTCTTTGAATACCTCGGCATCAGATAGGTATTGAGGTGTCCCTTGGTGACCAGGAGTGGTCATTAGGTATTATGGAAGGGAACGTGATAAGAAGATTACAATGATAAACGAGACGAGGTAGGGAGAATATATTATTATACAGCTGTCTGAATGCCTACTGAACGCCTAGGTAATAATAATGATCTAAGAGGACGGGAACAACGGATATTGATGACAGCCAAGACCAGAACGGACTACCTTGCAAGCGAGCCAAGCAGATAACACGGGGGGTGACATATCTATCGTTCTGACTTGTCGAGCAGGATCCCGACTGACCCTCTCATCTTGATTTAGTGACTTAGGGACTTAGGGTCTTGTAACTTGTAAGAGAGGAAAATGTGGCCTGCCTGATTCGGGGCAAAGATAAAAGGGAACAAGTAAGAAGGCAGTCACTTCCAGTTCCAGCTCGAGTCAGGTACTTCGTACGTAGTTTAGTTCCTTCCCCTAGACATTCTTAGACTCACGCCAGCTCAGGGACGCCTCGTACCATCCATGATGTATTTCGTACATACAAGTACAAGTATTATGTATCTTTTAAAGGTGGGGTCCGTTGACGTCCAACACACTGGAGCTGAGGCGCCGTAAACCACTGGAATGTAGATGCTTGCTGATAAGGCAATGCTACCGAAGTACATTGGTACGTACCTAAAATCGACTAGAAGTGGCTCAGATCCAGAACTTCCAGCTTCTTCGATATTAAATCGACGCACATTCGGTCACTTCGTCACCTTTTACATTTTTGTATGTGCTTAAACATCGCGGTCGTTGAAACCTCTCAACTCCGATTAATGTACCTAAAGAGGAAAGAAACTCCTTTTTTAGATGATCTTTGATGATCTAGGTTATATTCCGTATCCCAAGTACAAATACCAAGCCAGGGTTTGTCTTTATGTATGCGTTGTCACTGGACTTGAGTTGCTGAAAGGGTGCGGGTGTGGTAGCTGATCGGCTGATCTAACACCCCTTAACTTATTTACACCTTTGCCTCGTGGGATACCGGATGCCCAGGCGTGCAGGCGTGGTACAATACCCAAGGCATCAAGGCACCCAAACACCCAAGCACCCAAGCACCCCACAAATCAACTTCACCGTATTTCAAGCCGCCCTTCCTGCCTCCCACGGGGAACCACAGCATGTCTTGCCATCGCCACTCTCCGCCCTTGCAGAACGGTGAGCTTGGGGGTTTGTTGGGGGTAGGACCCTGAATATTGACTAGTGTACTAGGCTTGCTCACAGACCATCATTAGTGAGGCTATTTCCAACCATGGAGACTACAATTTGTCAAATTGAGAGAAGGCCAAGTCGTATTCGGAGCCAAAGCCCGAAAACGGTATTCCTACTTTGTAGGTTCAATATACATCAAATTTCCCATTGACGGGAATGCGGAAATCAGGCTGTAGGACAAATGCCTACCTACAAGCTGCTCGAAGCTACGCTGCTACGTTAGCTATCAGGTTACCTTGATAGTAAGTCAGTCCAACCCATGCGACGTTTGGGTAGCATCGTACGGGTAGTCCATGCAACCATTACTTGTAAGTCGATTTATTGCAAGATTCTGTGGGGAACCCTGAGTATTCTCATAGAACTCATCGTCGAAGGGTGTCGGGCTTTGAATAGCATCCGTCAATGAGTCATGTCTGCGGTAGATACCGGAATGCTATATCCACGTAACAAAACAAACCCATCCTCTGGCAAGATAAATCTCGATTCTATGAATAAGTCTATGAATAAGGGCTTACTCTATTCTACCTTCTCGCCCAAGACTTTGAGCTATATATTGCGATTGGCGCCAAAGTGTCTCGAGTCCCATCTCGCCAACTCATCCATTTTATATGATTACGCAGACATGCCGAACTGCCGCGTCCCTGAGCGTACCAATTCGTAGCGGTCCGATACTGCAACGCTATCTTTACTCGATTCTGGGAAATCCAGAGTTTGATGCTCCAACTGTATCTTGCATACCCGCAACCCTACCTGCCCAATACTAACATTTTGCTGTACGTAGGAGACTAGCTGCAGCATTCTAGACACGATTTTACATCATACGCGCGAATAAAGGGTCTTTTATAAAGACTAACTGGTCAAGGAGGAATTGGCCTAATGCATCTCGAACCTCATATCGCATAGTACAATTCAACAACCCATTCAGCCGTATTCTTATCAAGACATCCTAATTCGTTCCCCCGCATACCTACTAGCAAACCAACCTTCATTCATATGCGACACCCATACGCCATAGTAGCGTAGGTGGACCCTCATCGTAAAATTTAACATTAATCAGCGCCCACGCCCACGCCTTGGATCTTGGACTTGTGATTGTCTCGTCTGAGACTTTACCGAGAGTGCGGGGGCAGGGGGGGGATTGCGAATGAGCTGATGAGCATAGATAATAACTCTAAATAGCTTATCGATCTGGGGACCCCGGAATTCGTCGAGCTGATCCCTCTCGCTGCTGTAAGACGCCATCGTTCACGATGCCTTTAGATATCACGAGCCTTTGGGACCTTTGGGACAAACTCGACGACTAATAACGCATTAGCAAGATCCCGTTACCAAATCAGGAGGTCCTATAGCCGAGATGACGTTGTTGGCTTAAGCTAGTACATAGTAGGGGCGCTTCTCCGCAGGACGCTGGATACACTGATACATAGAGTCTGTCCAGGCATCGGACTAGTATCCGGACTCCGGAGACAAAATACTTATATTCTGACCTCGGTGTATACTCTGCCCTGTAGATCATACATCGATCCTAAAGGAAAGTTAATCTAAAACGCAAATGCAGCACAAAAGCGCCTTCAAGTTTGGTTTGGCTTATCTATGCCACGATTATATTTATGGGAGGGGTGGTAGCCGGTAGCACAACATAGAGGTAGGACATTTAATTCTACGCCCGGTATTTCCAAATGGCTGGATACATATACTATATGTATAACTAGGCTGCTAGGGGAGCATGCATCGAGATTCAAGCAAGCCATTTCGAGCGCCACTATCACAAACTGCAACGTTTCCGTTTGTTAGACCTCTGAGCAAGCTCTTTCTATATATTGCCCAGACTGCCAAGATGGTTTGATGTCGCGTGGAACATGACATAGATAACACTTTCACTCATAAAAGTTGACAGAATCCAACATCTAATACTCGCCTTCGTTCAGGTTCTCGGGTTCGAAAGTCTATCAATACTGGGTCCGTGGTATTGCAGCTATTGTGGCGCCGTGGGTTTATTATCAGAATTATGCGACAGCTTCGTCGATCCTATCGGAAGTGCTCCCAAAGTCTTCATAAACCAGGTACACTTGCCGATACAGATACATAATATATGGAGGTTTAAATCAATGGAGGACATGTGAAAGTAACGTACATTGGGCATTGATTGCCATGGTTAAGCATGAGGATGCTCGCGCTCGTGACACTTGTTTCTTGATTTAGTTGTCGTTGGAGTGTTTCATTAAGAGGACTAATCTAATAAGAGAAGACTCTATAATAATGCAGCTTTTGCGATAGTAATGAATATATAAAAATGAAGCGTCTGATCTATGTTGGTTCACTTTCCTTGTTTCATCTCATCGTGTCGTAACATTTTAGGATTGGTACCGGGGATGGTGATAGTACACAATTAGTAAGATTATTTTCAAGATCTAAGATTATAATTATGAGATTATACTAAAGGACTTATCGCTAGACTATGCAAATTTGCGATAGATATAATTTCTCTCATTTTCTTCATGTTTTGCGGCCATTAAATGTGAGATGATGTGTTGAGTGTATGTATAAGATAGAATTAGCAGAGTGAGCAGCCGACGTAAATACCGTCAGCTGCTAAGTGTACCTAAGAAAGGTACCTATGTACTTGTGCATCCAGGGCAAGCACCCAAGCACCCAAGCTATCAAAACGCCAGCACCGCAAAGTTTAAACTTAGATTCAAAACGCGGGCAACATCGACCTAGAAATTCAACCTGGTAAACCCCAGGAATCCGATGCGATAAACAACTCTCTAATCCCTAATCCCCGCTACCCTGCGAACTCTCCTTCAGACGTACAATGGCGGCCCCAGACACTTCTTCGTTTACCGACTCGGCTCAGGTCTTCGCCGCGCACACCTTACCACAGATCCGCGCCATCCACAAAAGCCTCCATGTCCAGA